CACAGCACCAGCACCGGCACCCAGCACCAGCACCAGCAACCTGTCTCGAAAGCGCGCACGGGCAACTCATTGTTATTTGAAGTAAGAACCCCATAGCTTCGCTATCTGGGGAACAAGCTACTGTAAGTGTTTTCATTTGATTCTTAATGGCGGCTCAGAGCCCTCCAAGCCAAACCTTGGAACGAGCTTGTGACAAGGAGAAGCAATGCTTGAGAGTCCAGAAGTCATGAATATTTGTTCTCAGTTGTTTCCTCTTTGGTTTTTTTTGAGTTCAATTTATGAAGAAAAAATAACATATTGTATTTTCTCAGAAAAGAGAGAAGCCCTTCTTTAATGAATAGCTACTGTATAAAGATATACATACATATATATATATATATCTGCCGACCCCAGCCGATGGTCCGGGAGCGCGCCAGATGTGAATTCAGAAATGAAGAATGCCGAATGTGAATTTCTAAACTTGGAATTCGTGACAGAATCGTTAGAGGTAAAATTTCAGGTGCGTGTATAAATATACAACCATATGTTTCAGCTAATCAGGGAAAACCTATAGGCATCTCTTCTGTGTAACTCACCCTAAAGAGCTCAGCTGCATGGTATATCGCGATTGCTTGCTTTTGTGTCCGTGGGTACACTGTGTTGAATTGGAGGCTGAGTAGTTTTATTCCAAATTACATGCTACTGACTAAATGGTTGGTATTCCAAGGACTACAGACTACAGGGTTTACATCCATGTCACCCGTTTAAGCTCTAGAAGAATTGCAAGCCTAGCAAATTCAAAAGGTGTTTGTGTCGAAACTTGATAGCGGGTAACCTGTACAAAGCTGGCTAACTTTTTTCGAAACCTGCCAAAACGAAATGATATGTCCATGATAAATGTTGAATGCTGCTCACGCCGTGCTTCTTGCAAATTGATACTATGGCCTCCCTAAGACATGGCCGTCTAGAGCCTACAATACAATGGGCAGCTGCTTCCGAGTTCTGGCCTGCAGCATGTTGGGCAGCACCTCTTGGCCTGAAGCTGCCTGAGGCCGAGCAACACTGGAAAAAAAAGGATGCTCCTCTGCAAGTGCTGAGAAGCTCTCACTCCAAACTTTCTGAGAAAGCTGGAAGATATGGATATGGGCAGAATTGCATTGAATGGGGTGCTGCAAAAAGGGAGGGAGAGGGAGAGGGAGAGGGAGAGGGAGAGGGAGAGGGAGAGGG